ACTAGTTGGTATGGACGATGCCGAATCGAGTCCCATAGCAACTGACAGTGATGTGGGACTTGCGAAGCGTCACTCAGTACGGATGTCAAGGGGAGGGAGTTGGTGTCCATTAAAAGCGTTTGTTCAGTAAGCTTTTTGACCGAAAAATATTCTCCGTAACCGATAAAGGAGTGTCACTGTTGGGGCTATGGGGCTACATGTCAGGAGCGACAGCATTGAGCAAAATGGCCCCGCATGTCACAGATTTTAAAACCCACGTGTTTAAAAGGTTGCCTTGTAGAGAGTAGTGAGAAGTGGGATTCGAATTGAACTTTCGGTGGGGACTTGTCAGTCACGATTAGTCAGATAGCCACGGTGCATCCGGAAACGCAGTGAACAACCATTGGAAATACGCCTGGTAGTGGAGGATCAGTATATGCGCTATATCACAGTCAGTGATTTAGCCATGGTGACCTCTGCCCACCCTCTTCGGCCCAATGGTCGCATTCACGGACGCGTATAAGTCAGGTCGCGGGTTCTAGCTCCACATGGGACAGATGGAATGCGCACTGCTAACGATTCTCAAAATAAGGGTGAAACGGCCGTCCAGTGCTTTCCCGGATATGCAGTGGCAGCCTGAATTGTGATTGTCACGAATCTCCGTTAAAACGGCCACCTTTTGAAGTGGCGCAGGGGTTTGCTCTGAGGCTTGCGGATTTCGAGCACCCTGTGGCACAAGCTGCTGCCTGGCAAAGCAAGCCCCTGGTGATCATGGGTTCAACTCCTGATGGATGCGCACTACTGATGGTGCCCAACAGGCTGAAACTGCAATCTAGTCCTAAGGCACAGTACTGGGCCCTATTTTGTTCCTGATTCACGTCAAGGAAGTACCACAACTTCTTCAGTCGCCATGTGCACTGATTGCAGACGACCTAAAGATTTGCAGGGTTATTGATTCTCGCAAAACCGTGATGTCCTTCAGCAGGACCTCGACCGCCTGCCCCTGTGGTCTGCGGGAGTTGATTCGCTGATCAAATCGTCATTTGGCGTCTGAAGAAGGATGGTGATGGGTGGGGGTATGTACACCCTAGCCGGCAAACCGCTGCATCCCACAATTATCATAATGATTAACAGCAGTACATCAACCATTTGAATTGATGCTTCGCTGCCGTACAACCATAACGAAATACGGAACGAAGAACAGTAAGAAGAACCAACCGTAAAAACATAATGACCTAAACAAACACTCAGGGTCAAGGCGCATACACCTTGCCAATAACATACCATCACAAACAGCTGGCTATCGTGCAAAGATAAGGTGGCATCGGCGAGACATCTTCCTTGCGGGTTTCACTGCCCCGCGTCATAACCAGCCATTACCCCGCAGATAACTCAGCACCAAACACACATTAAACAGGCAGTCCGACTAAGAGACGACAGCAAACACGCCACTGCTGAAGAGTGCGAGCCATGTCCTGTAAAGTTTCGAGCCAAGCAAAAGGCGAATCATATGGACTCCAGTCTGGAAGGCGAGACGAACCTACAACACCAAGTTGGGTCGTCAGTGACTTCATTTCCTGCTGACAAGTTAACTTTTGACCTCCGCGGGTCTTGCGCCACTTTACATCTGGCAAACAAAACTAGGCCCTCTTTGGCAGACGGTGACCAGATATACGTAGTAGGCGCCCAAGCCAACTTAACTTACTCATTGCTATCTGTTGCTCTAATGAAATAGCCTGGTTATCACTGACTAGTACTCGACTACGTACATCATCGTTGCGGACACTGGTGCCGCACGATATGTAATGGTTCGCAGACAAAGACGATCAAAGACTTGAAGGCGCCGCTGGTTCACAGATCGAAGAGTCTAACTCTCACTCCCACAGAGTAGGACGGCCCTCACTGTGGCCTTGTTTACACGCTATGGCAAACGACGCACAGTTGTCAGCGAACGGCAGCATACGAATAGTTGTCTCACAGACTAGGGTTCTCGCACACATACGACGGATGTTCAGCAACCCACCATCAATACGATGCTCCACACGAACACCGTAAGCACAAGCAGAACCAAACGCACACATCATGGCATAAAGGTAAATTTTAAACAGAGCACGAGCTAACACACAGCGTTGCTTCACACCATAGACAACTGTAAAGTCGTCCGAGGTCTCTCCACTCAGCTGTACCCTCGTCCGCATACACTGGGCAGACATTCAATTAAACTTACAAACTTACTCGGATAACCAAACTTACCCAACGCCAGCCACAATGTCGCGCGGATCACCGTATCAGATGCTTTAGTAAAATCAACAAACAGCGAATACAGCTCTCTGCACTTCTTCTGCAACTGACGAGCCGCAAGCATAATATCGATGGTGCTGCGACCCGAACAGAATCCACATTGTTCTTCCGCCACGTTCGATTTCACAACCTGACTGTCGAGGCGGTTGAGCAGGATTCGAGCACCTTTCCCACACAACTCAGCGAGTTGATACCATGATACTTCGTGCAACATAGCTTACTCCCTGTGCCCTTTTACAGTGGTAGCACTAGCGTATCCTTCAACTCAGGTGACACCCCTTCCACAACTCACACTCATTGCACCAGTTGGTGCAGCGCATTCACCAACGCGGGTCCGCCGTGTTTCAATACTTCAGGCGGGATCCCCTTAGCACCGGCACACTTGCCGTTTCGCAGATGAGCAAGTGATCTCTGCATCTAATCAAGTGTCGCTGTGCCGGCAAGACACATCATCACTTGTTGTTGTAGTCCGTGCAACACAGTCCAGACAATCTCTTAACTGCTTTTCAAGACAATCAAAATGTTTTCGCCAGATCTGCATTATGTCTGCAGTCTGTGCAGGCAGCGCCCGAACTACCACAGAGCAGCATCCTCAGCGGCTCCAATCTCGATCCATACACCGCCTTCAAGGAGTCACAGAATTCCTGATGTTGGCGGCGTTTGGCGTAGCATTCCATCTGCTTCGCCTTCTCCGTCCACCATGTATTTTTAATGCGACGAAGCTTTAGAATCAGTCGCCATCGAATTTTGCGAAAATGACTCTTCTTCCCCATGTCACTGGAGTCTGCTACATGTGCAGTAAATGCTGCATTCTTTTCAGACACCAATGCGCCAACCGTCGTATTGTTCTTATCAAACCATTCGGGCCGCTTCCAGCTTGCGCGCCCGATGGTATCTTCGGCAACAGCTGTCACCTGGGCGCGAATGTGGTGCCACAGGTCGCCCACTGTGGCTATGCATTCCACATCACACAGTCGTGCAGTCATCGCCTTCTTCAGCTCGATACATTTCGCCACAGTACCGAGGGAGAGAATGTTAAACTCACACCAATTCACGGCCGGAGTGCAATACACAGTTTTACGACAAAATATATAGTTTGGTCTGCACCAATTTGTGGTCAGTGCCACACTCAGCTCCAAGCAGTACGCGTGTCATGCGCACTTCACGTATATCACGCTGACGTACGATGACATAGTCGAACAGGTCAGCGTGACCACTCCGTGGGTGCGTCCAAGTTGCTATACCACTCACACTCAGTGCAAACCGAGCGTTCGTGATCGTCAGGTCGTGAGTGGCACACAGTGAGAGCAGGATGTCACAGTTCGCATTAGCTGAACCAATGCCTTGCGGTCCGATAACATCTGTCCACACCGATGGATCACGCCCAACGCGCAACGTTGGAATCATCCAGCAGAAATACTCGGTCGCGCCTCGGCACACACCGTATCACGGAGAAAAGCTGAGTGCATAATTGGTAACGCGTGTCATCAGGATAACACATTGTCGGGCTTAGAAAAGTGGCAAACTTACCTCTTCCGAGTCGTAGGCGAGCAGTTAACAGTAATGCGCTGAAGCCAGTTGGTTCACCCACCTTTTAGGTAATCGGATAGTGTAAATCAGACCCCATGTTTACGTAGTTCTGAAGTGGCGTTGCTCACCCAGTAGAACGTAAAGCCGGCACCAGCTTCATGCAAATTACCTTGATCAGGGATCCGGGTCTCGCTAAACGCCGCAATATCGATGTTGCAGCGGCCAATTCCATCGCGACCAGTGCAGTGCGTCACTCAGAACGCTCACTCACATTCCGGTGGGGTAGTGTGCGCACGTTCCAGCACCCGATGTTGAGCGCTATGCGCGGAGGCATACGACTGCTTTGGCGAGCAACTCTATGGGTGGTGACGAACTGGACTAGAGGAAATAGTGAGTTAGGTGAAACTGGAACGGGGAAAGTATATGAAGGTGAAGAATAAATAAGGGAGGCGCCGGCAGTAGCACGTTTTCGTTGATCTACCCTACTGTATACATCAAATAAGGTAACGCTTTTCCTAAGGCTACTGCGCGACGGCCGATGCGGGGTGTCCACACCTAGAAGGGGCACGACTCGGGGTCTCAGATATAGCCTTCGATAAAGGCAGCGGGCCGAATGCCATGATTCAGTGAACCGACACATGCGGATTTGGGTCCTGGATCTTAGCTAGAAGAAGGGTGTAACATAACTCCTACCCAGCGGTCGCCACGAGAGGACGTGCAGGACATGAGCCCACAACACAACATTAGCAGTAGCGGGTCGACGATCTGTCAGGATCTCGGGACTACAAGCCTCATGGCACCATGGGCTCTGCCGGCATATATATATATATATATATATATATATATATATATATATATATATATATATATATATATATAGGAAAAGCGTCCTGTGGCTGGCCACAGTGACAGACAAATCCGAAACCGGATGCCGCCAAACACATAAAGGAAAAATCCCGAAGTTGACCACTTTTTAAAGCTGGCCGATTTTCTTCCATTCTTTGGATATCGAACATGTAAATCTTATGGATCCAGGCGTCTGTATGTAGACAACTTTGGTCTAGTGGCTTGAGTAGTCAACTTTCTGAGGTGTTACTTTATGAAGAATATCCTCCTAGCATCCATTTTTTGGACTGCATGGGCGGTTGCAAAAGCTGCCCGTTTGACATACCCGCTTTAAGGGGTTATTTCTCGTCATAAAACACGTTTTTCGGTAAGTGGATATGACTCTGTATATTTCGACTTGCAAAATGCGAGGAGATCATGGTAATTGCTTAAGATATTGCTCCGATCTTAAACAACGAGTAGAAACAAAAATGCTTGATGACATGTATTTACAGGGATGCGTACATCTGTTTCTGGTAGAACAGAGGTGGGCCTCAAACGGAATCTTCAAAGTTCAGCTGTCCCAAGATCTGTGAACAAAAAATCGCACATGAAACATGTACTGACATTACCCAATTGATAATAAACCCGATAAAAGCATAAGATTGATACAACTGATAGATGAAGCTGCAACATAGGGGTCACCATCGGAATACTGTTTCAGAAACAATAACGGAAAACACCAGTTATCTGGCGAGCCTTTGGAGTGACGCGCAGGACGGTTATCCGCAGTCGAATATCCTGGATCGGCTAGGCAGGCTTGCCAAAAGAGTTGCCCGGGTGTGTACTATCGAACGTTATTGCATTTGATTGGGTTGTCTGTTGCAGACCAGAATGTTAGATGGGTTCATTCTACATGATAAGTCCTGTACTACCGACTCAAAAAAGTCGGGATCAGAAACATCAATGATTAAGGATCATTTTATAGGACGCTTCTGCGTCGTAACTCATGTTCCCACTCGTCAAACTATTCAGCTGAAACTGTCAAGCGCCTGCAATTTCGCGTGTCTTCCCTCATTTTATTTGACCAAATTAAAATGTTTATTTTCATTATATGAGACTGAGTCAAGGCACAGCTTCTTACGGAGTAATTGAAACATGTAGAAATTCGTCACATCTAGACTTAAGTTTGGTAAGCTCGTCGCTTGGTGAGGGTGCTACCCTGTCCTCTGCACGGCAGTAACGTGTAAGTCAGTGGATAGTGAGCGGCGCTATATCACATCTAATAACTTATTCACGATGATCGTTGCCGTCCCCCGTAGCTCAGTGGTCTCAACCACGGACTGGCAACAGTCGAGTTACGGATTCGAGCCCTACCAGGGGTCCGATGGAATGCGCACTGCTGATGATTCCCGAAAGGATGTAACGCGCGTACAGTGCTTTTCCAGGCGTGTGGCGGCTGCCTGAGTGAGTCCAGATGTGACGAATTTCTACCTATACCATTCAACTCCCCCTACTACTCTTCTCTAATTGAAATATAGTACGCTGTCGCGTGCATGAAGTTTTCGAGGTTCTCATCAATGTTTCATTGAGAATGGGTGGGTGTGTAAACAGAAAGTGCATACCCTAGGTCTGGTGTGCCGGCCCGTGGCCTTAAGAATCATAAACCTGCTTTGTAATCAGGATGCCGCGGGTTCGAGTCTGTGTAAGAGACCAGGCGACCTTCGCAGTATTAGCCCACGCGCGACTGGTGCTGGTTGGGCGGCAGCGAAGCGTCGGTACTTCATACCTGCGCACTACTGGTGCCTTTCGGCTCCACAAACACAGCTTTTGTGCTCAAAAGTTTTTACAGGCTCTTCATCTACCATGGCCTTAAACCGCCCCATGTAACGACGCCGCGCTTAACCTTTCCACTAACGTTGCCCAAGCCGGTACCATCACTTAATCTCATTGACCAGTCAATTCGCTCTATTGATTCATCGCATTCAAATACTCTTTGTTAGTTGTGTCCCTATCTTCTGTGGTGTGCTGGCCTGATGTGAACCATCGAAAACAAGCTTGTTCACCTAGCTGTCTTTCGCTTTTTGTCATATGTGAAATGCTTACATTCATCATAATTCATCGAGATAGCTGGAAAATAAAAACAGGAAGAAGCGATTTACAAGTTAAGTCAGCTAGATTGGCATCTATAGGGGTCAAACTATGCGTTTAATTTTGCGACAGTAATTCGAGAGAAATCATCTGTCCAGTGCCGTGATGAGAGCGACATCTGAGATGACTGGAAGATTTCAGTACTTCTGTGGTCCAGGGCAAAACAATGGAAGTTAAACTTGGTCTAAACATCCGCAGATAGGTGGTTGGAAAAGATGGATAGCACTCTGACCTCAAAATGCGAGCAGAAGGGACAGTAGTTTACGGATTATAAGCTCAGGCCGATGAGCCCGTGACCGCGGTGACAGTGGGGGGTTCAGTTCAGTTAAGCAAATATGGTCCGAGTGTCGAAGTGTAATGCTTACGGGATCCATGACATGCGTCGCTATGATGATGGTAATCAACAATGGTGGATTTAATGAGAAAATGAAGAAGCTAGAAACGTAGAAGGAATAAAAGGATTGGAATGCTATCAGAGAGGTGCAGGACACCAGTTGCAGGGACACAAAAACATCAAGAATTTATCACGTTGGATAAGGTCTCAAATCAGTAAAGTGGCCTGTAAGTGGTCCGCATAAATCGCACTGATGATGTCGTCTAGTCTGACGATGAAACGTTTGCAGCCAAATCAGCCAGCTCGGAGAACACCCGCATACGCTCATCCGCATCCCGAGCTACAAATATTCTCACGGATTTCTAAAGTGGCCTAGCCAGACGCTTGATCGGGAAGATAAGATGCATCGACTTTTCTGACATCAACGGCTGGTAAGTCTGCGGTCCCATCCTATTATATAAAGTTACGGCAAACAGCTCAAGCTAAACCAACATCCAGTGGAACACCGGAAGGTCTCCTCCTAAATGCCAATCGGTGAGTTTCAGCATTACTTAACTCGTGCTCCCACCAGATATGAGCAATACTCCGTAAGTACCGACAGTCAAAGACCACCGCCGGCTGCTTGAGGTCGTTAAGGCAACATGAGCATTTTTTGCTCCGCCGGACATTCTACCAATGGTGAACAGCCGACTGGCCCATCTCTACGAACGAATGTAAAAAAGAATCACAAGAGGTGTTGTAGGCTGAATTATTTCGTTGTGAGCAGCTCAATGTGCTTGGCCCAACCTAGCCCGAGACACCTCAAGGTTTCAGACAAGGTTTCCTGTTCTTCCCGTGAAAACTCATCGGCACGAAGTCACGCCACCGAAGTCAGCCCAAATTCATCTGACACAAACCGTTAACTTTTTTGTATTCTACAGGCACAGATGTTCCGGTGTGTGAAAGCTTGTGTGCTGAAGACACGTGGAAAGTACAAGGAAAGAAAATAGCAGAACGAAGAGTTCAGCCTCTGCAAATCAACGGCAGACCAAACCACGTGAAGCTCAGAAATATTGTCACCCTGTAGGAGCAATGTTGGCCGACCAGGGGCGTTCGAACCTCGTGATTTTTCACACACCTGAGTCTAGTGCTCCGACTCCCCAGATACGCTAAGACCACGACGAGTTTTTATAGAACCCATCTGATAGGCTTCGCGACGTGGATGAGGACAGGTTGAAAATGAGGCAGATTGCCAGTATCGGAAAGAAAGGTGATCAACAAAGTCGGTCAATGAGAATCGCTTGTGTAGACGAAGCTAATCTGGGACTGATCTTGTCCCGCCTAAGTAGGCTGAACAATTTGAAGATCTATTTTCGTATAGACCTGGATCCGGTGGATTATTGAGCTGAAAAGACGAAATGGCGATAGGGCAAAAAGCTCCATATCGTAAATTTTCGGGTCGTTTCAAAGATACCGCGAAACAAGATAAAGAGATTGCTTACACTTCAAGCACGCCCAGCGACTTGCGTGTAGCCTTTACCAACGTTTGCAATCTTATGAACAAGCGCGATGAACTCTGTCGTTTCGTTGGATCTGAGCGGCCAAAAGTAGTGGGACTCGCAGAGAAATGGTTGAATTCTGAAATGATTGCCCCGGGAACCTAGCTCTGTGGCTACTTATACTTCCGATGCGACAGACTCGACTGACCGAGGTGGCGTCCTGCTCTGCATCCGGTCAACTGTGTGGTAGGCTTGTCAGCGTCTACAGAAGAGAAGATGGCCTGTGTGATCAACTATGGTGTTAGATCCATATCAGGCGCAGAGAGCTGCTAGTGGGTGCAGTTTATCGCAGTCCCTTGAGGCGTTGTTTGGATTTGCTTCCGCATCTCTAGAGCCAAACGAGTCGAGGAGAACCACTGTGTATGGAAGCGAAAGGCACTGGTGGATTCTAGGCCGTAGACGTCGAGCGCATAGTGCTGCAGCACATTCGGACGCTAATGCCCGAGTCAAGCGGGTCTGGTAGGCCATCGGCGTTGTTACGTGGAGGCAACATCACAAAGACGAGTCAACTGACTATTTAAGCGTAAGCAGCGCAGCGACAAGAATGTACACTGCGTCCGCATCCATTCGACTTACTAACCCAGGCCAATCAGGCGATTGATGTGATCGTGCCCCGCCTCGTCGTTGCAGTTGGTCAGTACATGTGCATGCGTGTAGAGTTTCTTACATTGCAGGAGTTGGTGTTTACTTGATATCCCCGGTGTGACTGCGCTTGATATGCATGTTGACAAGGTGCCTACCTGTCTGTTACGCACTACCTCGTAAATACTGGCTCCAGGAGACAGTTGGTCGTTGCTGGAGGGGACGGGGTGCACGGTCGTTGAGGCCGTGCTAGGCTCGAAGAGTGGTTCCATGCACCCGGTGTGGAGCGGACTGCGGTCCAGCCACCGTCTTGTGTACGCTTGATTCCCAAATACAGCGTGCTTGTGTTTGCTTGTGAAGGAGTGTGGGCCGGCTCCGTTGATGAAACTTGGCTTTCATCCACATGCCTCCCGGTCTTATTCCTTCGGGTTTACACTGGATATGGGGTGTGTGGTTGGAGCTGTGGGTGGTGCAGCGCAGGCCACCCATGGTCCCTGTGTAGGCGCAGGCGTCCTGTGGCTGGCCACAGTGACAGGCAAATCCGAAACCGGATGCCGCCAACCATATATATATATATATATATATATATATATATATATACCAAGTGGATGATTTAATATATCGAAGGTGTATATATCGCCTTAAGTAAAATTTGCTGGTAACAGTTCACTGGATTGGATAACAGTGAACAACTGCACTGGCAGATTCCACTTCGGATCTCCGCAGAGATTAATAAGCACTATTTGAAAGCTGGGTGCTTTTTGAGGCGCAGTTATCTCTATTGACTGCGGGATATCAGTCTAACATACAAGGGCAAGGTGGTTACCGTGCGATAAAACCAGCGTTACTGTAGGGAGCAAAGACCTGCCTAGCTTGCGCTGAGGATAGCAAAAAATTGACTGTTATTGATCGCTGGTGCTTGCGGGATATTGCTCACATCTGGTGGGGACACCGGATGAGCAAAGCGGAAGTGCACTGGTTTCTGTTTGGAATGAAATTCTCTGGTGCTTCACTAGAGTGTCGATAAACTCGAAATTGGCTAGGTCATATTCTCGGTATACCTAATGACTGCTTTCTCGGTGTTGGTTGTATGACGTCGCTGTGTCTAAGTGGAGAACCCAAGGGGGTGATTAGTCGATGAGGTGGTATTAAGGCATGAAAAAAGTTAACCGAATAATATGGCGTTGTTAACAGGGATCTCGAGATGGGCCACAGGGGTGGCTGGAGACTACCGAATTTTGTAACAGTCGCGCAAGCAATGGTATCTATTCGGATTCTCGCACCTAACTGTTAACATTCCCGCCCGATTGATTTGCTTACTTGGTCCCCAACCCGTTTTAAATACGCAATCGGTGTTGTAGCACACTTTCCCAGATACATATGCTTTTCACTTAGTGGATGTTAACCCCATATTTATCGATCCACGCACGTCGTTATCCATTTGTCAAAGATCTGCCGACAAAACCCTAAGTATAGGTCGTAAATATGTACATTCTAGTCTGATATTCAGCGTCAAACAGAGGAAAATCCGTTTATGCACTGTGTCGTTGGTACGCAGTATTATGGCCATTAAGACTTTCAGATGCAATTTTGCACAAACGGCAAGCTGGATGCACGGTTACGTCGGTCGCCGACAAAATTCGGCCACGGAGCGTAACTATACATATAAAAGGTATTAATATAAATGGTTTTAAATTTCCCGTTCAGTACATTACATGCAAGAACATTGCGTTGCGCCGTAAAACTGACTAGATGTCCACACGCTGTAAGTGCGGTTTACGAAGGTAACGGCTGAAGACAGTGCAGAGTATAACGGAGAACAGATATGGGGATTAGTGTAAGGTCTCATGAGTCTGTTCTGTGAAGCCTTGATTTGCTTACCATATGTAAAAACCGGCATCATTTCGGTCGCTCATGCGTATAGGGTGGCGCCGGCCTATCGCGAAAAAGTCGACACTATCAAATGGATAGGAACGGAGGCGATAAAGATGGAGTTTCTTATGCAAAGAGCCTAGCATCGCAGTGGTTCGATAGCAATGAGGTTGTACAAGAAAATAGCGTGCAAGAGTCGACCGTGACTTAATGAATATGCACGAATCGTTGTCGGCGTACTATATTTCATGCAAGGGTTCAGCGAGAACAAAAACTCAAAATAACTCACCCAACAAAAATTCGGATCAGCTGAGAAGAAATTTCAAAAGGTCACTTCCAGAAGCAGATTGGGCAGCTCTAAAGCGATTAAATATACGAACACTTACGAACTGGCAACATTGAGATTGCTGATTGCGATGAGTTCCTGAGCCTGAAAGTGAGATGAGTGTGGAATCAATTACCATCTTTGCCTTGAGTAGAGATTTACGCTCTCGCTTGGTTTGTTTCCTCGAGGCACCCTTATTAATTAACAAGAAATCCGTAGTAGTAGACACTTTGGTAGTTGAAGGTGCCGCTACTGCATGGGTATATTCGCACCTGTAACCTGAGATCAAATGTAATGAGAAGCTACTCTTTGATATCACTTTCCATGTTTGTGAGATCCTCCGTACTAGCAATGTTATCAGGCAGTTTCACATACATCTAAAATATACATGCAGTTCTTGCAGCTGACACTCACCCAAGTATCCGAAAAAGGACTGTGTTTTCGTAAGTCCAACAAATTGGCGTAGACTTGGGTAACAACAGAAGACGTTTCCATGATTAATGATCTTATGTGTGTAATCGAATGACTGACATACCTCAACACAGAAACGACAGACATAATAAGTAACAGTATTTTCGTAAAATGCCCGGTGACGAAATGAAGACTGCAATCTCTGAATTTCGTAATGTTAGATTTACTGGAAACAAACCTCCAACAGCGACATGCACGTGATAGCCCAACTGATAACAGGCGCTTTGTTTGGACAAGACAGATAAGAACATGATCATATGAGTGGACACTGGGGCAGAATGAATCATTTTCTCTCCCATTTAACAACATGGCATAACGTGATATGCCTTTTGTTTGTGGCCCATCAAACAAATGATTCAAAGTCCGACGAAACTGATCATTAGAATACCAACAAATATCTCACATAGCAGAAAGATTTGAAGAACTTGAAGTGGCGCAGTTGGTTGTGAAAACGGATGAAGATGGAATTAAGTAGCCGGACATCACATCGCTGTTTATCAAAGTGGCCAAGGGACCCACTCAATTTCAGCATTTCGGAGTCGATATATCCTGCACTCAATTATATGGTACCCCGCTTACTTGAGAACGAGGGACTGCAAGGAACATAAAGTGTGGTAGGGAGAAAATTAACATCGAAGTTATCCGCCATCAAGCAACCGAGATTTCGAGAGGAACAGCCTCGGGGAATAACAGGATTTAATTTGGGGTGCGTTATCAGGCACAGCAGCTACTACTGGAGTCACTGAGAGCTGTGTTAGGTCAGGTTCCAAGGACGAAAAAGGTTCCCGCCTAAGGAGCGTATTGTTTCTTGTACCTACAAGCAAATCAGGGCCTCCAGATACTTCGACTTTTGAGCAGCTTCACTTGCGTCTGCAAAGAAATGAAGCAAGAACAAGAACAACCCGTGCGCTTCCTTGGATCATAGACTACGAGGTCTAACAATTGTCAATACACTTACAATAATTCCGGGAAATGATCTGACCAACACATATCCAAGTCATTTTTGAAGACTCCTATATTGGTGCTTCCAACCAAAACGTTAGGTTTTCCAAACGTTTATTAGCAACAGCAGTCTTGTGACCGCAATTGACATCCGGAATGCAAAGTTCGCCACAAAACTGTAGGCAATAAGTGTAACAATTTGCGTTCAAAAGCACAAATTTTATTTAAGGTCACTGCGCAGGCCTGTAAAAGGCTGAAGAGGCTCGCATGCGAGCATATTCAATTCTGAGTATGGATTGTAGTGGACCGTTATGTATTCCGAGCCGAATCGAACTTTTCCTCGGGATCCTCAGGTATAATATAATCTTAGGCAAAAACTCACAGGTGAAGAACGCTCAGGCACATTTGGGTTATAATGCTTCCTTCTATTACCGTATGTCAGATGCCAAAAGGCTATTCGAAACTATACATTCGACTTCTTGAAGGACCTGACAAAAGCACATGCAGAGACAGTGTAGTGCGTTTAGTGGAGCAGGTTCGAGGCACAGACGATCATTGGATGATAGAGAGCAAAAGAAAGGTCCTTTGTCAGCTCTGTCACTTTCCGATCGTTCCGGAGATGTCTTGGGTCATTGCGAAACAAGGTCCTGCAGAGGGCCACTGCAGCTGTATTAAAAACAGCAGAATCCCGGCAAACTAAGATGAGAATCTAACATGTGTTGAAACGTTCCTTTGTTTCGGCATCCACGATAGACTCCGGTAGGCGGTTCCAGTCATTTACGATGCGAGTGGATGAAGGCAGGCTGGACCGCACACGGAGACTCCTCGGTACGAATAGTTTCAAACTGTGATTTCTGAGTACTGAGATGAAAGGAATACTGAATACTGTATTATAGAGCAAGTAGAAATGAGCACTGGGGCAGGCGGATTTCAATCCAGGACCAGGACTTTGCATTTCGTAATGGCAAAGGTCATGTCATATTTCGATGCTTCAATCGCCAAGCTGTTTAGAGCGGTCTGTGTGCTCTGTGCGTCATCATCAAGCAAGGCAATATCATCAGCATAATCTAAATCTGTCACGCGGTTGCCAGGAAGAAACTCTGCACCAGGACCCTGAAAGCCCTCGAAAGCGTTTAAAAGGACATCTTTGATTACAAAATGGAAGAGAAACGGAGACATGGGAAACCCTGTCGTACACCGCTAGTGACGCCAAAGGGGAAGAGAGCTTTCCATAAGCTCCCACTTTACCTGAAACATTGCAATATAATGCTCGAAGGGTGGCGATATACTTGTCGGATACTCCATTCCTTTGTAGGCAACGCCATAAAGTTGGTCGATCGACAGAGTCGAAAGCGGCTCGGATGTCCGGAAAAACAACGATAGTGAGCTGACGGTAAAAATGACGCGTTTCAAGAAGTTGGCGAAGCGTAAATAAGTGGTCTATACACCCTCGACCGGGACGGAAACCAGCCTGTTCTTCATGGGAGTGCAATTATCGAATCAGGGTTAGTCTGCAGAGTAGAATGGATGTTAACAGCTTGGTGGCAACGGACATTAGACTGATTCCTCGGTGGTTAGCGCATAAGGTACGGGACGATAATTGACTCGCTCCAAGCGAATGGACATATTTCTTCACGCCAGATCTTAGGGAACAAGGCTGTTAACTGGTTGACAAGTGCTTCGCCCCCCCCCCCAACTTGAACAGCTCTGGTAGAAATCCGTCTGGGCCAGCAGACTTGAATCACTACAAGTGTCGGAGCTTAAAGCAGACCTCAGCTTTAGTGGGTGGTTCCAATGAGACGTTCCAAGGCGCGCCAGTAGGTATACTCAATAGACTCGCCGGCGGAGGAGACCTGCTGAATTGAGTGCGGAAGTTTGCAGTCCAGCGGTCATACGCCTGTGTAAGTTGCTTATCAGCGTTCCGTCAACCTCGCAAATGACCTCACTGACACCAGGTCTTTTGTGACCAGTGACCCGAATGACCTAGAAGAGCTCGTGGAAGTTTCCAGAGAGGGCTGCCGTTTCCATCTCTGAGGCGCTCTGGGACCAACAAGTTTCGCGATCTGCACATAGGCTTTGCTGCTAACGCGACGCAATTCACTGCTATTTGGATCGGCCGGATAGCTCTACGACAATCAAACAATTCCAGTGAGTGTGCAAAAATCCAGCCCCTCAGAGGACGTCTTTTGATTCCGCATCGTTTCACGCAGGAAACTCTAATGATTTTCAATGTCTTGAGGTGGAGCCCCAATGAATGCATGCGATAAGGAAGCTCGATAAGTTGATCGGGTAGAGAGGACAGCTAACTTGTTGATGTCGAGCGTATGGAGCTTTCGCTTTGAGGAGCCGACGAAGCGCATGCAGATGTCCGCGCAGACCAAAGCATGATCCGAATCGAGGTACGTAAACCAAATCAATCTACAACCCCAGTCGTTGCCTCGCCATCTAAAGCTGATTGCAATGTGATCTATTTGTGACCACGCTAGCGTTGGTGAAGGAGGACGTCAGGTGGCTGAACGTCTTCTGGTATGCCTAAAGGCCGTACTTGCGAGAAACACTCGGTGGTCTTCGCATAACGTAAGAAGTCTATCACCGTTGTCAGAACGGCTTTCATCAAGCGCGTGACTTCCACCAAGATAACGTTCGCAAGGAAGCAGGCGACCTACTGGTGCATTGAGATCTCCGGCAAGAACGATGACATCTGACTTTTCGGCCTTGTTCAAAAGGTTGCGGAGACCACGATAAAAGTCATCCTTAGCCGATGCACAGCTGCAGTCGGTTGGAGCGTAGGCAAAAACCACAAACAAAATTCGCCTTTCTTCACGATGTCTGTTGATTCTACATGAGCCTTGAAGTCGAACCGCACACAGCCGGCTGTCGATTGGAAACCAGTCGAGTAATGCAGCCTCCGCTTTGTCACTCAATGCGATATCGACACCAGCTAAGCCGGCTGTTGCTGCTTCCATGTCACAAGACAGACGTAGGTAATATGCGATCTCAAGAGCAGCTGGGAACGACAATTTAACCACGCTGCTGAGATCCTGTAGTCGAGTCTCTGAACGGCAACAAACATCGATAGCGAGGGACTCTAGAGTGCGCGCCAGACCAGCCTGTTGTCCAACCTGTAGGTGGGTCCGAACATTGAACGCTGCCAGACGGAATGAATTAAGAGGTCGAAGGATAGCTGAAAAAAGGATCGCTGATGGCCAGATGATTTGGATACCAGCGATACGCGCAATGGAAATAGATTCAACAGGTTGTAGATAATCAACAAGAGAAAAGTTGACGTGTGATGGAGAAGCACGAGTAGCAGCGAAAGTAGTAGCAGAAGTAAGCGACGTAGTAGAAAGTGCGAAATCCATGGTTTGCACAGACGGCACGATACTACCCGGTTGCCCAATCCGAAGTCGCGGATCCTCCGGTGCAGTGAGCCACCGACACCGCACATCCTGTTTGTGAAGGAGAACCTCACGGCTGACCTTGTTGAAAAATTTACTGAAATCGATGAATATCACGTCTACAGATTTTTCCTTGCGTATTGCCTTCAACCACGCATGCCTCATCACAAGCAAGTTTGTAATGCATGAGCGACCTTCCATAAAACCGTGCTGTGCGGGCATCAGGACCAGTTTTGTTTATAGCATCTGCAATAGTCCCTTCTTATGATTTTCTCAGCAACCTTTGCCAAAATAGGTGTCAGACAAATTGGCTTGTAGTTGTCCACTTTGCTAGGGTCGCTGCCTTTCAGAATAGGCTTCACCGCCGAATATTTCCAGTCAATCGGTAACGAATATTCGGATAACGAACTGATGAAAAGGTCAGTCACGACAGGAGAGATGATGGCCGAAAGTGACTTGAAAATCAGTGGGTGAAGCCCATCAGGTCCGGCAGGTTTGGTGCCGTCAAGGTTGGCGAGTAGTTGACATACCTCCTCAAGGCCGCAAACCAGACTGTCGAGTTCCGTAAAAGCGGTACGCGTCGAACGCGGAACAGACACCTAGCCATTTGCAAATACAGAACCGAAGTGCGCCGCCAACGCGGACGCACGCTCGGTGCTGGTGGTTGGGGGCTGCCCATCTGAGCCATCCAACACTGGTACATCACCTGCCGGCTTCAGGCGTCGCTTCACGTAAACAATAATTCTCTTCGGGGCGGACTTCGCGGCGAAATGTCGGCGATTAATCCTTTTTGCATTGTTTCAGAAGTTCCGCTGACTTGTATACCCTTCGTAGTCATTGGCAAAGCCAGAGAGTAGGAATCTGTCCTGTAGCAGTCTGGAGATTCCCCGGTTTGCCTGTGTAAAATTCTAACCAAAATTCTTTCATTGTACACCTAGGCAACCGGTGTGGTTTGTTGAACTGCTTGCTGAGTTCGAATGCTTTACTTGCTCATCGCCATTTTTTGCTTGGCGCTCGTTTCGGTTGCAACGCGCAACTGCCCTGTGTGCTGTGCTTGATCCGTTCCCCTAGCTAGAGCGTCCACGGTGTCGTTCATTTATAGCTAGATAACAGGGAATCTTTTACTGTACAAATAAAAGTTTCCCTGCAACTCGATCCGTCTTCTCGAATCGCTCTCTGGGCTCCCGGAATAGGCAACCCTCTAAATTGGTGACCCCGGATCCGGAACAATCTCAACGCCGGATATTTCAAACTTTTCTCCGGTGAGCTCGTTCCATTTATTTTTCATATTTTCCGGTTAATTTTTGCATACGGTAGCCTATTTTTTGCCTCATTTTTTCAAGCCATGGAATCTGTAGACCATAAGGTAGCGTCTATGCTTAGGGTTGTATCTCTCTCAGTTCCATCTTTTTGGGAAATGGATCCTGTTTTGTGGTTCGCTCATCTTGAGGCCGAGTTTTATAACCACAGAATCACTTCCGACTACGCGAAGTATTGCAAACTCCTGTCCTATCTCCCCAAGGAGATATCAATGC